ATATTCGTTATTTTTTCCTTACCGACCAGATACAACAGGGTAATCTTGTGGTCGAGTATTGTCCTACGGACAAAATGATAGGAGATTTTATGTCGAAGCCATTGCAGGGAGCCGCCTTCAAGAAATTCCATGATCAGATTATGGGATATGCTCCTCCATCCGATTTTTAGGGATGGAGGCAGGAGTGTGTTGAGTCATGAGTATCCGGGACTGAAATTCGAAATCGACTGGATCACCAAAGCGATTCCTCACTTTTCTTTTTAGACTGACTTTAAAATAGCTCACCATGGCCAAACAGTCTCTCTAGTGTTTAATCAACACCAGAGCCTTTTGACAACAGCAGCCAGAAGAAGGAATCGAATCTACTACAATAGAGTTGTCAATGCTAAAAAAGAGACACTTCACGAAAGCAAATAACCATGCCTGGCAACGCCTTCTTTTCGGTACTGCTACTATTGACAGCAGCAACTAGTAGAGTTGACGCCTTTTCCTCCACCAGTGTCTTCTATCGCCAGGGTCAAAAGAGTGATTATCTTAAGATTGCAACCGCACTGGCCAAAGAGCTGATGAATCCGTTGGGAGTAAAGATCGAACGCTTCGTTGTGGCAACAGATAGTAGCAACAATGTGATTGGCTGGGCACAAATCAAACCATTGGGAGAGTTGACATCTTCGCAACGCGATCCGTCCAAGTTTGACTCTCGGCCTGGATCATTGGATCTGGATCAAAATGAGCAGCTGTGGGAGCTGTCATCTGTCTATGTGGAGTCTTCCTTTCGGGGACAAGGCATTGGTTCCGAGCTGGTGAAACGAATCTTGCAAAAGCGAATTGTAGAGGATGGATATTTGCCGTCCAGTATCTACTTGCTGACATTGGCGACAACTGTGGATTGGTATCGAGATAACTTTGCCTTTGAAAGCGTGTCTTCCAGCAATATTCCAGGACCCATGGCTTTGGAAGTCGCAGCGGGAAACTTTATCACCAAACTGATTGGGGCGCAACTCTGCTGCATGCAAGGGACGCAACAGACTCTTGAGATTTGCAAGAGTGTTCCAGCCTGGTGACTCATATACCGGTACATGTACACTCTTGCACTACGCTAAAAGCTAGTGTAAAGATCTTTCGAGTGTTTTGAGTTTGAGAGAATGAAAGTTATGAGAGGATTAGAAGCTATGAAAACTAATCAACGAGAGAGATCCACAATCAAAGGATCGTAGATCCTGGAACTTCTCCCGCGGGAGACTGTAGAGTGTGATAGAGTAGGTTGCGGACAGGTTAGCCGCCATCCTACTCACTCAACGATCCAAAGACGGAACTCGTGGAAGATTCGTTTAGTATTTATCTAGTAGCGTGAATCTCTCCACGCCAGCTAAATATCTAGCGCGATGTTTCACCATCGACCTAGTATGGCTAGCGGTCATGAGAAACCCTGTCTCAATGACTAGTTACGAAAGACTAGTTCATGAGTCGAACTCAAACCCTATTAAGGATCGAGTCCGGAATAAGGCTAAGAGCCGTCTATTTCATTCGCCCCCTGAACAGGGTCACGGAAGGCACGACATTCGTCGGACAAGGAGAACATCAGAAGTTAAAGTGCGCGGCACTCTCCGGAGATTGGATGTAGACGTTGCCGTACCGCACGATGGCATACACATATACAGGGGATCAGGCCTTTGTATGGGTGTAAATACCTTATGTTCCAAGTCTGGGTGACTGTGCCGCTTGTGTGTTGATGGCGGTAGTATGTCGGCTATGCGCGGTTACTGTGTTGGTAGTGTCATTGTTATTGACTCTGTCTGTGTGGTAAGTACCTTTTTGCGTGGGCTGACCGTACTCACGGTTCTTATACTGATGAATCATCATCTTATCGTTGACATTGTGTTAATGAGGGACACGTGCCGTATTCTCCTTATCGGTGTTTATCTGGATAAGTCGTTGTGTCTATCTTGTGCCTGTGTAGTGTGTATTCCGGTTGCTTTGCAAGCACGGGATTGTGGTGAAAGCTTGTCACGATTTGACGCGCGTGAAACTTCGCGACTGACAGTCCATGTTTATCCGGAGGAGTATCTCCTTCT